ATATCAATCAATTTACAACGAAAAATAAAAGTAAATAATAGACAACTTAATAAGAGCATCTCCACCCAAACTTCAAAATTTGATATTTCAAATCTTTTTGAAGGCTTAGGTGGCATATGCTAACTTGACATGAAAGCTCTCCACCCGATATATCAAATCTATCATTATATTATTTTTAAAATTTACACTCTTTTATTTTACTAATTAAAATAAATTTATTTTTAAAATATTACCCAACTTCAAATTTATAGATAATAAAATAAAATTGCTTTTTTTTTTGTTTACAATGGTAATAAAGATTTTGTTAAAAAAAAGGGTAATAAAGACATACATGCTGCTTTTTTTATTAAAATAAAAAAAATATTACCATTTTCAAAGAATACTACTCTTGGTTTAAAAAAAAAGAAAAGTCATGACATGACGTCGGCTAATTGAAAACCACAATCCGTCACAAATTGTGTCGTTGGATGCTTTAATTGAAGATGAAAGGAAAAAAAAAGACATCGAGGGGTCTTCATGTCAAAATTGACATGAGGGGGTGATGCCAAAAGTTCGCATCAACTTTTGACTCACCAGGTGAAATTGATACTTGATGCCAAAATATGATTGTTGGAGTGCTATCAAATTTGAAGTATCGGGTGAAAGTGCTCTAACTACCCTTTAGTTCACACTGAAAACATATTAGCTATCCTGGCTTCATCAAACTGGACACAGATGGAAACCAAAGTGTATGCAATAGTGACCCTTGGCCCAATTAGGCAAATAAACATCGACTTGGTTGTCAAAAACCACAAGCTCCATCCTGATATTAATCCAACAAATAATAATAATCAATAAAGTTTTAAAACTCAAGCCTCAAAGCATGAACCTCAATTTGTAATTCTATGCCAACTATCAGTTACATCCACTCTTATTCTCTGCCCTCGATTGAGCTAATGGCTTGTCTCATGATCGCTAAAATGAGATTATCGGGGCACTAATTGATGGTGACTCCACATGAACTCCAAGTAACGCATAACAAGACAGCAAACAACTATAGTTCTAATATCAAGGAGCAATTTATTGAGGTTTTCATATATAGTAGTATCCCAAGCTCTGGGTAACAACATGGAAGACAAAACTAAAAGAATATTCAACTGAAACATGTTAGGCCATTAGTAACAATTTGCTATTAAAAACCAACCAGGGCTAACCTAGTTGGTCAAAACTGTTGCATTTCACTTGGAAGTTAAAGGTTGAAGTCTTGTAAAAAGTAATAATTTCCTCACCACCTATAGGTTATGGCCTCCCAGTGTTCACACACCAAAAAAAAAAAATGTTGTTAACAATAATATATTGAGTACATATACAAAGGTTCACTCAAAGCTACTTTTGTTACTAGCATACTAAATTGAATACCAATCTTCCAACTCGCATGGATTTTTCTTTTAATAAGTGGACATGGCTAAGCAGTTTCAATAGGCAAGTTTTCACTTAAATGTTAAAACCAACATAAAATATAATCAAATAGTTAATTACTATCTGCGCAGAGAAGCTATATACAAATCTTGTGAAGGTCATAAAGGATGTATTATGATGCACCTACAAAACACCGACAATGCATATATTAATGAAATCTAAAAGTAGATAGCTATATAATTATGCACTAAACAACACAACTAGAAGCAAAAAAGTATGAACTTTTTTATTTTTTTTTTAATGCTGATACAGCTGCTTCATTATTTTTTGATAACTCAATCATATTCAAAATCCACAAATTAAATTAATCAAAAATCTGGAACCCTTTTAAACTGTCTGCGGAAAAAAATAAATGAAGCAACCAAAACATATAGAATAAAAAAACATAGGAAAAGCAGATACATGAGCAAACCATCATGATGATATGAAAGAAAATCGAGAATACCAGGACAATTAAGTGTATGCAAAAGAAGGGTTGTTTTGCTCCCCAACAGCACCGAGGCAACAATAACTGCTATGAAAAAGCAATCAATGAAAGCCCTTGGGGCTTGGCTAAGAAGAAAGAAAATTATTTAATGTAGAAATAGGCAATGCATACAACAAAATCGAAAAGAATATAGTAATTGAAGTAAGTTGATAACCTGTGATTAGGAAATTTTCTTCTTTGATCATGGCTCTGATTTGATAGGAATCTTGTACCCACAATTGGAAAAATCGAAATCTTTCCATAAGTGGTACCATTGAATTTGAAGGTTGTATATATTTCCAAATGGGTGTTTGATTACAAATTCAAAATTGCTTTTGATCACTCCTACTTACTTGGAGAAGAATAAATGAGAAAAGTGATTATTTTGAACTTTGTATTAATTCTTCAATCAAACAATGAAAAAGATGGATCCATTAATTAGAATCTTCCAAATGCAAGAAAATACTTATAGAAGTGAATTTGCTATCAATTTATTTATCAACAATGATTCATCCTCCCTTTTCCCCCCACCCCCTTTGACCCCCTCTCTCTCTCTCATTGGTTACATTTTCTTTTTCTTTTTCTTTTTTTTCCTGCTCCTCCAATCACCACCCGCCACGTGACAAAGGGGGAGACTCCAATCACCACCTGCACCACCACCCTCCCCCCTCCCCCCTTTTTGGTGGGGGGGGGGGGGGGGGTGTGGAGATACGTATTAATTATTTTAAAATAAATAAATATGATGAAAAGTACGAGATATAATGCTAAAAAACCTTTTTAAATTAATTATTTCATGTTATTTCTTAAATTAAGATTAATAAATTTGAACAATTTCAACTATACAATTTTTTTTAATTTTTTACCTAATTTCAAAAAAAAAATAATTTATTTTTGTACTTAAAAAAATAAAATCATATGAAAATAATGAATCCGAATGAATGATATTGATGATTTAAATTTATTTTTAAAATTAAAAGTTTCAAGGAATACAAACATAAGAAAAAAGAACGCTCCTTTAAAAGAAATTAAAAAATAAAAATAAAAATCAAAGATAGAATTAAAATTAAAATATCTTACACAAGATTGACTATATCGCAAGAAAAACTAAACAAATCAACAGTGCTAAAATGTCTCAGATTGATTTCTTTAAAAAAATAAAATCATATAAAAATAATGAATCCGAATGAATGATATTGATGATTTAAATTTATTTTTAAAATTAAAAGTTTCAAGGAATACAAACATAACAAAAAATAACCCTCCTTCAAAAGAAATAAAATAAATAAATAAAAATCAAAGATAGAATTAAAATTAAAAAAATCTTACACAACATCGCAAGAAAAACTAGGCTCCGTTTGGTAAATCTCTCAAAATATTGTTTCACCCATTGATTTGATTGTGGTGTTTGTTTTGAGCTTTCAAATCATAATTCTACACCAATTTCTCAAAACTCAATTCAAAACATAATCATTACTTTTCAAAACTCATAACCAAACACATAATTCAAAACTCTTTTCAAAACTCAATTCAAATCAATATTTTAATTTTTTAAATATTTAAATATTTTAAAAATATTTTAATTTTGTTAAGATTTTAAATATTTTGATATTTAAATATGTTATGATTTTTTTAATTTTTTAATTTTTTGAATATTTTTTAATTTTTTTGAATATTTTTAAATATTTTAATTTTTAAATATTACGATTTTAATTTTTTAAATTTTAAAATATTTTATAAAAATAAATTCACGAATGACGGAATAAAAATATTTTTAAATATTTTAATTTCAAAATATTACGATTTTAATTTTTTAAAATTTAAAATATTTTATAAAATAAATTCAAACTCTATTTTATAAAAATATTTTTAAATATTTTAATTTTTTTGTTTTGTATTTGGTTACAATTTAAGTGTAAAGTTGTGAAAATAATATGGAAATTTTTTTGTACAAAGGAAATAATTTTTTAGATTATTTAAATTATTTAAATATTTATGATTTAAATTTTTTGAATATTTATTTTGAAAAAAAATTATTTCCTTTGTAGTATTTTCAATTAAAAATTTGATTAATATTATTTTCTGTTAATAACAAATTTTTTTAATTGAATTTTAAAAAGAGTTTGGTTATGAGTGTTAATCAGAATTTTCAATAGTGTGAAAGTAGTGTGTTTTGTTATGAGTTATAACAATTTAAATTAAGTTTTGAATTCCAAAACTTATAACCAAACAAATTTTCTTACTTCACATGTCAAATTAAACTTTCAAAACTTAATTTCAGACTAAATTCAACACTCTATTTAAAAATCATAACCAAACAAATTTTCTACACTCAAATCATAATTTCAAAATACACAATCTCAAAATACAAGCCATATTCTCAAATCATAATTGGAAAATCTTACCAAACGGAGACTAGATTTATCGCCTACAACTCTCAAAATAGTTGGGACTCCAAGCTGGAACATTAACCAAAACGATTCATCAAAAAAAATAAAAAAAATAACCACTCTCGAATGACCTGACTTAGCACATAATGAATGAAGACCCACCCCTGAATGAGTTGACTTGGCAAACAATAAATGAAGATCCACCCCCAAATGAGCTGGCTTGACACATAATGAACGAAGATCCACGCTTTCTCTCCTCTGAGACTCCGCTCTCTCTCATACGCTCCTCTCTTCTCTCTCAAACTCTCCACTCCCTCTCTTGCCCTCGCCTCATACTGTCGATGCATGATCAATTGATCTTTCAATTCCAAACAACAACCAGTGAAAAATATTTTTTTATGTTTAGTGATGGTAGTGGTAGAACCAAAGTGAAAGTGGTGGCCTTGTACTGAGGTGACGATTGCGGTGATGGCAATGATAGAGGTGAGAGTGGTAGTGGTGACATTGATAAAATTTTAGTCTGCATAACATTTTTTCCCTTTTAAAAATAGAAAACATTTTTTACTTAAATAGGTTTGTTTTCTATCCAAATACCAGAAAATACGGAAAATATTTTTCAGAAAATATGTTTCGCCCGAACAAAATGGTGTAAAAGCATTCCACACCAATAACAAAAAACTGAAAGTCCATGAAGTGTACAACAGATTTGTAACTGTTTCCAATTCTTTGTTACAGAAAATACATAGGCTGCTCGTACAAATCAAGCATCTAGGTATTTCAGAGCAAAGTAACTCTAATTACAAATCAAGCAGCCATAGAAATCTCCGATGGGTTTAATTACAAATAAAGCAACTAAATCAAGAATGGATAGCAACAATGGAAATTGAAGAGCAACCCACTTTCTACAAGTTAAGCAAGAAATCTCAGATGGGTTTATGAGCAAGGGGTGAGTGAGTTCATATCAGAGCTTACCTGAGAGTCGTGCCGGAGAGTCACCGCTACAGAGGGAGAAATGCCGGAGAGGGCAAGAGGAGAGATGAAACAGAAGAGCGAGAGGAGAGGTGGTCGGTGCTGGTCGGTGGTTTGTTTGAAGAAAGTAGAGAGCCATTTGAGACAGAAGTTTTGGAAAGAATGGAGAGGGTGGGTTTAGGTTAGAGCGGGAAACAAATGCTAAACAAAGGTCAACTAGGATTTAGTTCCTGCCAAACAAAGCCGCGTCAGTCGCGTGCGCGGGGGGTGGGGTGGGGGAGATCTCGGTGGGAATGAATTTGTGTGGATGTAGCGGAATTGTAACATTAATATGTAAATGTTCATATTCGAAATTCATAAGTTTCCTAAGATTTTTGTACCATAGGGCATTGTTCTTCAAAATCCATTCCGCTGTGTCAAAAGTAATATATGTCTAGTTCATATCATTGTCTTCGAACATTAAAATTCACTTTTATATTGACTCCATCTACACAACTCATCCTCACTATCATAAGAATTCACAGGACTCTGAACTTGAGAAACTTCAGGCTCCATAGATTGTACTTCTCCTTCCTCTCCCTGCTCAGGTTTTGCTACTTCCTCCTCCTGTGCACCCTGCAATGACAAAATGAAATGACAAACAGGCCACAAAGAAAAAGTCTAAGAACACAAAAAACAATTATAGAACCGGACACAACAGAAGAGACATACGTTGATTTCGGGATTCGCCTCCTCCTCGTTGCCTGTCAAGCCAATTGAATCATCTCCATAGGAGTTTTGTTTTTCCTCAGCAGCAAGTTGTTGTAAGCGCTCAATCACCAGTTGATAATGGGAATGATCTGCAAGAAAGCTCAAATTATTCCACAATTTCCAAGTAGACAAACTCACCATATAAATAATTTAATATATATTCTGATTTAATTTGAGCATGAAATTTACTGCATGCATGCATTTTTTTACTAGTGTCAGCATCTTGGCCACATATGGCGAATCCAAAAAAGCCCTATCAAATTAGATGCATTTTTAACAAAATAAACTGGAACTAAAAATCTATCAGAAGACAGAATTTTTTTGGATGCAATATATATAACATTTGTTAATGGTTTATGCAGCCAGGCATCCAAATATAGGGATCTGACATGAAACTACAACGGCAAAGACACCAACCACCATTGTAGAATTAAAATTAACTAAAAATAGAACTGAAGAATTTTTTTTTTTTAGGAGTGACCATTGGTTCAATAGTAAAACCTTGACCTAATAACCTTGAGATTATGGATTCAACTATCGGGGCAACCACTTTGTACACTATACCAAGATTAGGTGTGTATCTAATCTTTTTCCTCCCAAACACACATTAATGTGTACTATTTGGGCGTTATTTCATTTTTTTTTAATCTGGGGTATCAAGATGTGTGTGCACACACGCACATGTGTGTGCGCATGTGAGAGAGAGAGAGAGAGAGGTAATATGGGTATCCTTTCATGGTTTTATTTCTTTCCCTTTATATTTACTTCCTCACAAAAAATAATAATAATAATAATTCATTTTGATACCCCTCAACCTTTAATTTTATTCAACAAATGTAGCAGACATGGAAGTGAGCTCCTATTATTAAAACAAGTAGTGACCAGGCACAAGAGGGTCAAACTTCATGGAGGTTATTGCAAAACTCCCAATTATAAATCATTAATTAAATAAACCTTTCCAGACTTCTGAAAGGATGCAAGAACAAAACAATCTTACAATGTGACAAAGACTCGTTCATACTTTTCAAAAGCAAAATACATTGTGATCAACAGATTCATAACACGATTAGTTAAAGGTTTGAGAGAGAGAGGACAGAACTCTACCTTCGGCACGATTAGTTAAAGCTTCTTGAAGCCTCAAGGGTTGCTGACACTCTTCTTTCTTATATTTCAACTTAACTTGGTTACGTGTACGACCAGGAAAAAGTTGTTGAATCATTGATATATCTGTACCAAACTGCCGCACAGCCTAGAACACAAATTAAAATAGATAGCTTAAATACATCTTTTTTTTATCAGCAGCAGAAAGCTAGAGACATCTTATAATCAAAAGGTGGTAACGGGAAAGCATGAGAGAGATAATTAAGCAAATGAATAATGAAAATCTGCTTTAAATGACACATTGATCAAGCGTTATCATGATAAGAAGTAAGATGATTTTTGCTAAAAAAAATTTCTCCTATAAACAGCTCGTGCTACAGTCTTGCCTGGTTTCGTGATACCTCATAAACAAAGTCTGAACTTTAACTTCAACTTCAGCTCTAGGATGCATGGATATACATAAGTTTTCATCTTTCTATATCAAATATCAAATTGAGATACAAAAAGAGGTTTCTCCAGTAATACTATAAATAAAATCTGAAATTACAGCAAGATCTACCTCATAGAACAATTCTGTGTCTTGTTTTGACCATCTTGACCTTGGTGTTTTCTTCATGTACGACTGATAATTAGGGTAATTAGAACTCTCTTGAACTACAGGATTTGCTGGATCATTACTGGAGCCTCCTCCTTGTTCAGACTCAAAGTTCTCATCTTCATTATAGTTGGTGAAAGGATTACCAAAACTGCACAGAAAAAATAATAACCAGAAATAGAAGTTAAAGAACATACATGCCTTCAGAAAATCAAAAACCAATTCCTAAGGGATTGTTTGATAATGTTGTTAGATAAAACAAGAAACCAAATAAAAACTTGTTTGGTGTAATTTGTTTTGAATACAAATGAAAACAAAAATAAAGAAACATGTTTGGTGATTTGCTGGTGGTGGCTGGGGGTGCGTTGGTCAAAGATGTGTACTGGAGTTGGTGGCCAGAGTGTTGCTGGAGGTTAAAAAAAGAAAAAGGAACACCAACTACTTATCTTGTTTGGACATTAAAATTAAAGGCCAAAAGGTAAGGAATGTTAGGGCTGATTTGAGCTTGGTGGTGCAGGGTTTAAGGAATAAAATGAGCATTGTTCAAGTGTTATGAGCAATTACTCCAGAACAGTAACTAAAACATGATTCCTTAAAGAATCAGACCAAAAATTTCTTGAGGATCACCCATCACACAATGCTGCAAAAGATTCTCACAACTTTCCAAATTTTAAAATACCTGTTTGGAGAACTTCCATACCTTTGATTGGTTGAAGGAGGTTCTGATGTTTTTCCCTCTTTGCTCTGAACAAGAGAACCAAACAGAACCAAGGCATTGAATTAGATATGCTAAAACAAACCAGACAAATTACACAGGTAGAGAAATGTGACACAACAAGAAAGAAAATGGTGATATTTCAATAACAAAGTATCAACAAAAATATAGATGCATAACATGTAATGATATCCACTCATCATGTCCATTAAAAGAAAGTAATCATAAATTAAAGCATAGTACATACCGACATCCGCTCCCGGTACTCTGCAAGCAAAATTATCTCTCTAATACTCAAACTTTGGAAGTCAATCTCTTCCTCTGGAATTTCAAGCAAAACCTTGTCCACTATCAAAAAAGTAAAACCGAGTCAACACATGATTAAGAATATAGTTCGTGCCCATCATCAGTTACAATCCTGACACCCAAAAAGACCCAGTTACCTTGTCTTCTCTTTCGCCGAGTAGAGTGAGAAAACTTTTTGGGAGGCTCTCTAGTTGTCTGGTCTGGTACTTCCTTCACCTTCTTATGCTTCCGTACAGGTTTTTCTTTCTGAGATGCAGATTTATTGGACTTTCTTGGCACTCTTGTATTTCGCGTTTTTTTAGCATCTTGATTTATACCATCATCATTGTCATTTTCATCTATAAGAGAATCACTAGAACATTCATTGGTGTAGTTTTCATCATCACTAGCTTCATCCTCAGACTCATCAACAAGTCGACATGCATTTGTTCGCTTTCTCAGCTGCCGCATAGATCTACCAGCTTCATTCTCCTGACCAGATATGGAAGAGTTATGGTGCTCGAGAGAATCATCTAACACTGTAGGAGTTTTTTTTTTCCTACGATTCTGAGAAACCTAATTTACAAGTATAGAATCATAAATAAAAAATAAAAAATGCACCAGGCTAGGATCAGATTAACTCAATTAGATAGAATTATTTACTTGTGTCAAACAATAAATGTATGACATAGTAGAAGTAGGATGTGCTACGACCTTTTCTAGACTTCTAGGAACAACCTCTGGGTGCTTTCCAGGGATGAACTTATCCGGGTGAGAAGTCTTCGCATGATTTGTTGGTTCTTCATTCACTGGGAGTTCAGATATAGAATCACCAAACCTCGATGATGAGAAATCAAGAATATCATTCGGTCGGAGTATGTATTCACCATTAGAAGGAATGGACAGAGCATCCTGAAAACAGGGAACGGACTCAACCCCATTTGCATGAGAGATGCCAGTGCCAGGTTTCTCTCTACCAATTTTAATCTTGGGCTTTGGTTGGAATTTGCAACTCCGCTGCTCTGAGGTCACAACATATTAAAGAACTATAACAGGAAAAATCAAAGAAAAAGAAATAGAGAAGAAGCTGAATTTTGGAGATACCAGGCCGTGGGGTTAACTTGTACAGATTATCCAAAGTTTCCAAGCAAGGAACAGCCTCTGCTTCCTGAAACTTACCAAAGCTCAAACCATATTAGACCCATTAACTACTATCAATGAGACAATCTCTTGGTTACAACTAAAAAGGAAAAAAGAAAAACTGTCTTCACCTCTATTTCCAACCTTCTATTATCCAAAATAAGAGCTCCCTTTTCGGCACTTCTAGTGTCAGAAACATGAACAGTGGGTATCTCTGGAGATGCAAGAGACCCTTCTGAATCATTATTACCAGGACATGCAATTATAAACTCATTCCGCAGTTGGATGCTCGGGTCTACGTTATCTGAAGGCCTACTTGCAGCACTCACTGCCAATATACACCAGTGCTCACCGCAATGAAGCAAGGAAAGCAAAATAACACAATCAGATAGACGGTTTTCATTACTCACCCGTTGCAGTTGTAGGTTGAGAATTAACATCATCAAAAGATTCCAATCCGAAAAAGATATCTGCACTCTGAAAATAGTAAAAATTACTGATGAGGAAAAAAAATTGTTCCAGTGACATGAAAGAGAATATTTACCTCCCCTGCTGATTTTCCAGTGGTAGAATTCCAATCTCCATTAATGTCAGGTATGGTAATGTCAGAATGCAAACCGACATTGTGGCCCAAAGTCTCTTCAATCACAAAATGTTCTAATGAGGGGCTCACTGACACAGATTTATCAGAGGAATGAACTCCAGAAACAGAATCTTCACTGTTTTCCAATGGCTTTTTGGTATTGACAGTCTCAGAACTAACTAAAGATGGACCAACCAGAGCAGTCAATTCATTCTCCGCAATATCAACAACCTGAACAGACTGTGTGGAAGGGATTGGTGCAGATGGTTCCTTTCTTGATGATGCTTTGGCCTTAGGTTGAAATTTGCCACCAGCCCTAGCTGCAAGAGAAAACAACAGCAAAAACATACAGCATGTTCACACAAAAATATAAATTTATAACAACAAATTAACAATGGTGAGGAAGCTTAACTAACCCTTATTTGCAATGCGCTCGGGAAAAATTTCATCCAAAGGGTCCAAATCAGTACCCATGGGGAGTGCCTACAACCAAAAAACAATTTGGGTAAGCAGAAGTGATATGGCATTTAGCAACACCAATACCACCTAAGAAATACATACACGGACATGGACAAACAACAAGGATACAATACAACATGAACACAGCCATGGCCACTGCAAAAACACAGGATACTCTACACGGGGACACAGAATATATATTTTTACATATTATATATGTGAACATTTTATTCAAAGATAATTGAAAAGATACAACTTAGTGCTTGTTTGGCTTGTGCTAAAATAGCACATGCTATTTTAGCACATTGTCCTATTTGGGTCACAATCATCTTATTTGGGTCGTATCACCTCTCTACCACATCACTTCAAACCCAACCTATATTTCACATTTTTTTGTAAAAAGTTAAAAAATATACTATTCTAGCACTTCTCAAACAACCCCTTAAAACCAACTAATAAATAAAATTAAAAAAATCATATATTTCATCTACACCATCTATACTATATATTATGGAAAATTCTATTTACACCTTCAAACCTCTCAGTACCCACCATCTGGGAGCTTCTATTTACACATCCACCTTCCTCTCTTTGTACACACTTCATAAAAATTATTTTTATTATAATTTTTTTTTTCAAGTGAAATTACTATTATAGACATCAAATAAACACATTCGGAAGTTGAATGTCGAAAAAATAATAAAAATTCGGAAGTCTACTTCCGAACCAATTGTTTATTTTCGAAAAGCTACTTCCGAACCAATTACTTATTTTCAGAAATCTATTTCCGAACCAATTATTTATTGAAAAAGATGTGTAAAGAGGAGAATAGGTGTGTGTAAATAGAAGCTCCCCCACCATCTCCCTAATTTTTTTTTTAATTACAATTTTATCCTTTTAGTCAGTTACATTTTTAACCTTTACATAAATCAATCATCTCTCTCTCTCTCTCTCCCCTCTTCTTCTTCGCGTTTGTCTCTCTGCAACTTGACGCCTCAACTTGGGCCTTCGTTGTAGTGGAGGAGGGCTAGGTTGCGATGGAGGGAGTGGGGGAATGAATTGCGATGCAGGGTTGGTCACGACGGCGAGGTGGGGGATGAGGCCATTTGCGATGGCGAATGGGGAGCAGGGTTGTTCGCGGTGGTGGTGGAGTCACTGTGATCTGCAATGGTGGCTGGTGACAGCGGTTGGAGGTGGAGGTTGGCGGTGGTGAGGGAGGATGACAACGATGAGCAACGGGTTGGGAGAAGAGGGCGATGATGAACTGGGGATGTAGAATTATGAAAGTGGTGAGAGAGGAAGGAGGCTGTGGAGGGGCAACAACCAGAGGCGAGGAGCTGCTACTACGGCGTCGGCAGCAGGTGGTGGTAGTGATTAGGGTTTGGGTTTGTTGAAGAAGAGGGTAGTTTGGTATTATTTAAAAAATAAGGGCGTGTAGTGAGATAAAATCAAACTTTTCAATTTAGGTGTGGTGTGAACTGAGCAAATAGGAGAATATGGCATGAACTGCGAGGTTTAATGGTGTGTAAATAGAATGACCCATATATTATATAAAGCACACAACTTAGAACTTGAAGATTTGTCAGGTTTTAAGAATGTCAATAAAAACACTAGTACCTAACTGTTTGCTTTCCAAGAATGCCCAAAAAATTGCTAACTGCTAAAACTCCAGTAACTAACTGTTAAACGTTTTGCAAAATTTAATGTTTAGAGCATCCACATTGGTCTGCCAAAGAAGCTGCCATTGCCAAATTTTGGCAACAGTTGGCAAAAACAGGTCTCCAGTGGCATGCTAGCTATATTGGCTGCCAAGTTATAGCAATGCCAATGCCAAATTTGATAGATCATCATCCCCAACTACTCTCCTTCCCTCATCCTTTCCCAGCAAAAACTCCCCCAAACAGAAAATAATATTTTTTTAACAAAATTCACCAAAAAAAAAAAAAAACAGACTAACAACAATAATCAAGCAATCTCAACTAATCTCAATCAATTTGAAGCAAATTTGAGGCAATTGTTCATCATAAGAAAGACGATTTCAGAAAAATAAATACCTGGATTTCAAGATGCGTGATGGATTTCCGCAATCTCAAGCTTTCGTCTTGTTCATCTGGTTGCTTCGTCTTAGGGTTTGTGTGTGGGGTCCAGGGGTTTCGGCTTCATCTGCTTCGTCTTAGGGTTTGTTTGCACTTGGTCTTCATCTTCGGAGTCGATTTCAAGGGTTTCGGGTTTCTCAGATGGATCGAAGATAGAGAGATCAAAGGGTTTAGGGTTTACAGAGATAGAGGATTTTTTTTTTTTTTGGTGTCTTTTTTAGGACGATAACTGAAAGAGAGAGAGAGATCTCGAAAAGGAGGGAAGAGAGAGAGAGACAGATCTGAGGAGAGAACAACTGGCTATGGCCGTTACTCTATGACACAATCATGACACGGTGTAACCCACCGAATTAGGCTTCGCTACTTGCAATCTCTCCCTACCTACACCTACAGTGATAAAATATATTTTAAGATGATTCAACGGTTTAAATTAGGCTATTTTAAAATTTGAGAGGGAGATTTATGATCTGGAATTGGGCCGAACGGGTTTGGGCCAAACAAGGGTTAGGCCGAGGTAATACGGTCCTGTCTTGAAGATCCTGCTCGGTTAATGCAAGGCGTGGTTCGACCGAGCTACATAGCTTCTTGGTATCGAAGCCTGTCAAATGGATTGTCCGGCGCCCGGAAAGATAAGGTTGGACCGAGCTACACGTGTTTGCTCGCCAGTAAGGCCCACGGCAACAAGCGTAGCTGTCCCGAGCTCGGCGATGCCGGGATATGCCGGAGCTCGATCGAAGTGGAGCGCGGCGAGCGGAGCGCTCTGGCCAACTATACAACACGGCCATCTACAGCCGAGATGATGCAGCCCGGCTGCCGAGCTCCCAGTAGAGTGGTCTGGCAGTCGGGTTAGGTGATGTTCAGTAAGATTTGTGTTGACAAATGGAATAGTAGCACCACGTGTCGAGAGACGAATGGGAGTGGATTTGGCGCGCAGAAGGTATATAAGTAAGTCTGTGCCCCCCATGCTAAGGCAGATGAACATTTGGTGAGACATACACAAAACACAATTGAGTCATCTCTCTCTCTTTATCCTTGTGTGTGTACTTAACTTGATCGTCGGAGGGATTTTCCGGCCACATACCGCCGGGTAGCTCACCGCCGTTGTGCTCGCAGGTCGGTCGGACAGACAGGAGCTTGGAAGAAAGGAGTACGGGCTTGCCTGAATATTTGCTCCCCGCACAATTGGCGCCGTCTGTGGGAAATCGACAGACAAAATCTTGTCTTCCAGGCCTATTTGATCGCCATCCATGGCGAACATCGAGGAGATTCCACTGTCCGCCGTAGACGGAGTTACCCCAGAGTCGGGCAGACCGAGAAAAAGACATCTCACCATCATTCCTCCGATGGCGGACCTGGAGATTTCTCCAGGAGGACATTCGAGAGATGCGCGGGATAAGCGCAGAAGAAGTTATGGTCATTCACGAAGTCCAGACGGTCATCGGCGGCAAAGAGAATCACATACCAGACGTTTGGAACACAAGTTAAGGGACCAGGACACCGTCATCCGGCGAATGGCGGTTGAGATGGAGGAGCTAAAGCGGCACGTCAAAGGAAATAGTGTAGCTGGAGAGGAAGACCACAGTGCGCGCACCCAACCCCGCCGTTCAAGCAGTCAGAGCCAGCGGCATACACCGTCAATCTCAATCACCAGAAGTTACAAGGTTGGAGATTCCGACGTGCACGAAGAGAAATCCAGCGCGCAAGATAGTACCTACCGACCCTCATGTCCGGCGACGACGTCGAGGTATTCTTATTCTGCTCATTCAGAAGATTTGCGGGCAGTTTTGAAGAAACGGGCTCGCCGGCGGGAGGCTCAAAGGGTGCCAGCGTTCCAGCGGCTATCCTATGGGGTTCACGCCAGCGAGGAGGTCGGAATGCCTCTACCCCGTCCAGCCGCGCCTCTCCTTGTAGATACGGACTTGGCAAGGCTGAGTGCCACCCCATTCTCCGTGGATATTGAGACCGCACCGCTTCCGGCGGGCTTCCACCAGCCAAAGTTCGCACTCTATGACGGAAAAACCGACCCGTATATGCATGTAAGTCATTTCCGACAGGTCATGGTTGGACATAGGCGGAATGACGCTCTTATGTGCTTAATCTTCCCGTCGAGTTTGGGTGAGCTAGGTTTGAAATGGTTCGAGAGGTTACCGGAGAGGAGCATTGAAAGGTGGCAGCAGTTGGCCGGAACCTTTGTGACGCGCTTCAAAACCAATACCAAAACACCAAAGGAAGTTGATCACCTCCTCAGTGTCAAGATGGAACCGAGCGACACGTTGAAGGCATACAACTCCAGATATTGGGAGACCTTTAACGAGATTTTGGATTGCCCGACCAACCTTGCAATCACACAATACAAGCGAGGTCTCCCGGTCGGACATAGACTGCGGGACTCACTTACCATGCATCAGCCGACATCCATGGGCCAGCTAATGCAACGCATTAATGAGCACATCCGAGTGGAGGACGATGCGTCAGCATCTACCGTGAAGGCAACTCCGGTAGCAACAGACAAGCGGTCAGCTGGCAAAGTGCACGCGGTCGGGCAGGAGTCCGGCCGATCCAGCGACCGCGCTGAGGAATCGGACCGTGGCACTAATCGCAAAAACCGCTGTAGGGGACGTCGGAATGACCGGGATGACTATCCCCGGGATGACGTAGCCGATGCTAACAGAAGGTTGAAAGCAAGGACAGGCATCACCACGGTCTTTAAGATTCCAATCTATCACATACTTAGTGAAATCCGTGACGAGGAGTATGTCCGGTTTCCTACTAAGTTAGGCAACGGACAGAAGGGCTTCAATCCGCGGTACCGTTGCACGTTTCACCGGGAGCGAGGCCATCGGACAGAGGATTGTTTGCCTTTGAGGCAACACTTGGAAGAGTTAGTCGCAGCCGGGCACTTGGATCTTTACATTGATGGGGGCGTGAAAGCCAATCAAGCTCCGGTTGACCCGCGGGGACCGGATGACCGAGATGCGCCTCCACAAGGGGTGGTTAATGTCATCCACGACATAGTGGAACCGGCGCGTGTATGCGAGCTCCGAGGTATGATCAAGAAGGCAGAACACATGAGGGAAGCTTTGTCGGTTCAGCGTGCGATCAAAAGGGGGAAGACCGAAGAAAAAGACGTGATTAGTTTCTCCTCAAGAGACCTAGAGCGCATTCAGACACCGCACAACGATGCCCTAGTGGTAACACTCTGCGTCAAAGAATTCGATGTCAAACGGATCTTGATCGATCAGGGAAGCTCGGTCGAGATCATGTACTACGACGCTTTCAAACAGCTCAAGCTCCGGGATACAAATTTGGCCCCGGCAACTTCGCCACTGGTTGGCTTCAACTCACAACCGGAGTGGCCATTGGGAAAGATTATCCTGCCGATCAAAATGGAATCCGTTGTCAAACAAGTGGAGTTCTGGGTATTGCAAGTGTCATCCACTTATAATTTGATCCTTGGAAGAGGATGGTTTCACGCTATGCAAGCCGTAGCGTCGACCTATCACCAGGTGATGAGATTCCCCTCGGTTATGGGGGCAATCGAGGAGATTTGGGGCGATCAAGTCATGTCGAAGCAGTGCTTCGTGGCGGTCAACGGGAGGCGAGCTGCCAAAGGCTTCGTTCAAATGATTGAGGGACCGGAAGACCAGGGAGTCCTCGACGATGTGGGCACCAAGGCCGAGGACAAAGCTGTCGAGGAATTTGTGGAAGTGCGCATTGATACCGAGCATCCAGACAAGTTCTTCTTGCTCGACTCAAGCCTTACAGCCCAAAAAAGAACCGACATGGTTGAGTTCTTGATGGCCAACATTGAAGTCTTCGCATGGACACCTTACGACATGCCAGGTGTCGATCTGAGCTTTATATGCCATCATCTCAATGTCTTCCCCGGGGCAAAGCCAGTCATTCAACGCACAAGGAGATCGGTGCTGCATCACGCCGAGGTAGTTGCAGAGGAAGTGAAGAACTTGCTTGAGGTGCGAGCAATTCAGGAAGTGCACTACCCGCGGTGGATTTCCAACACGGTCGTGGTGCCCAAGAAGAATGGGAAGTGGCGAGTTTGCGTTGACTACAAGACCGTCAACCGAGCTTGTCCCAAAGACAGCTTCCCCCTGCCCAGAATAGACCAGCTTGTAGACTTGATGGCTGGGCATAACAGGCTCAGTTTCTTGGACGCCTACCGCGGCTACTATCAGATTGCCATGCATGGGCCCGACCGAGAGATCACCTCGTTTACTACACCAAGGGGACTCTTCTGCTACCGAGTCATGCCTTTTGGTTTGAAGAACGCCGGGGAAACTTTTCAAAGGATGGTGACCAAGATGTTCGCTCCGCTGTTAGGCCGGACAATGGAGGCTTATATTGATGATATGGTGGTTAAGAACCGGTATCAAGCAGATCATTTGTCCGATTTGGCAGAGATGTTCGCCATTTTCAAAAAACACAAGCTACGCTTGAATGCATCTAAGTGTGCCTTCGGCGTGGGATCCGGAAAATTTTTGGGTTTCTTAGTCACGAACCGAGGTATCGAAGTAGTCCCTACACAAATCCGAGCTGTGCAAGAGTTAGAACAGCCTAGCTTGGCTAAGGATGTGCAGCATCTGGCCGGAATGGCCGCCGCGCTTAACCGATTTATAAGCCGGTCATCAGATCGCTGCCGCCCTTTTTTTCAAGCCTTGAAGTCAAAGTTCTCATGGGATGAAGAGTGTGACCGGGCTTTGGCCGAGCTCAAGGACTATTTATCTTCCGCGCCGTTGTTGGTCACACCGAAACCAGGAGAAGAACTTTATCTTTATCTGGCCGTGTCGCAGCATGCAGTCAGTGCAGTGCTTGTCCGGTCGGAAGGAATCAAACATTTACCCATCTTTTACGTCAGCAAAACATTGCTACCGGCGGAGTCGAGGTACTTGCCGCTGGAAAAACCTGCGTTACCATTAATGATGGTTTCAAGGAAGTTGGCACACTATTTCCATGCCCATACCATCATCGTCTTGACCAAGTTCCCTCTCAAACCTTTGTTCGAGCGGGCAGACTTCTCCAGTCGGATTCTTAAGTGGGCGGTCGAATTGGGACAGTTTAATGTGAAGTTCCAGCCGCGCACAGCCATAAAAGCCTAGACTCTGGCCGATTTCATTGCTGAGTTCTCACCTGGAACTCATCCGGCGTGCCCGGTCGATATTGCCGTGGCAGATGAAGAAATGAATGCAAGCTCGATCGAAATACCACAGCTCGGCGGCATTGGCGACGCGGAGCTTGCGCGCCCGGTCGAAGCCCCTTCAGTTAATCCGGTACTACAACCCGGTGAT